GCCTCGTCGCGTCCAGCGTCGGCTGCCGTCGACCAAGTCGGCGAAGCTGCCCGGGTGGCATCCTCGCCGCACGCCTCGATGGCCGCCCTGCTCAACTGGCTAACCCTGCGTCCTTGGCCTGACGAGACCCGGGTAGGCGGAAGAGGGGGCGGACCAGTGGCGTCAGGTCGGACGCTGAGGTGCGACGACTTGCGATGGCCATCCGAGGCGCCCGAAGCGGTGGTAGGACGCGACGCGCTGGTCTGGCTCGATCGCGAGTCGGCAAGCTCGACACTGGGCAGACTTGGCAGGACCGGGCTCGCAGGTCCGCCCGGATGGTGGCGCTGCGACCGCGGCGAGTCGGAAGGGAGCGGAGGGCTACTCGGCGGAACGCCCGCGTCCGCAGAGGGAGCTTCGCCGTCCTTCTTGCGTCGGAAGAGGTGGGAGCGGCGTCGCTCGGGAGAGCCCACCGGCGTGCGTGCGCTCGGCGGCGGCGAGATCGAGGCCTTGTCCGCTCTGGGCTCCATCCAGCCAAACGAGCTCCGCTTCGAGGCAGCACCGCCTGCCGCTCTCCGGTCGCCGTCGGTCTCGACCGGGGCGGGATCCTTGTCGACCGCAGGTGCGGCAGCCGAGGCGTCGAACGACTTGCGGAACGAGGCAAAGCCTTTGGCCGGCGGCGCCTCTTCGCGCTCGGCGGCACTCGCCCGGTCCTGGGCATCGTCGTCGTGGGCATTGCTGCGAAACGCCTTGAGCAGTTCCTTGAGCCCTTGCAGACCGGCGCGGCTAGCGCTCCGCAGCCTGCGTTTGGCGCTCTTGTTGCCGTCGACGATGGCGATCGAGTCGGTCGACACGGCGCCAAACAGGCTACCCCGGCTGCCGGCGGCGGCAGGTGCGGTATTGTACGGGTAGGCGCTGGCGGCCGTCGACGCGCCCGCTTTGCGCGGCGGGGGCGAGGCGTCGGCAAAACTGAGGCTCGCCGTCGAGGGGCGGCTTGCCGTCGGATCCTGCAGTAGTCCGCCGTCCGGCGTGCTGGCCATGTTTCCTGGTCGTTCCCGAGGCGAAGGGGGCGCGCGGTCAACGGCACCCAGTCCAAGCCCAGCGTCACCGTCCTGGCTGCTGTGGCCAGCCTCGCCGTCTGCGATGGCAGACATCGTCTTGGTGTCGGGCGTGGACGAGGAGCGCTCCCAGATGGTCGGTGGCGGCGGAGGCGGAGGCGGAGGAGGTGGCGAGTCTGGAGCGATCGAGGCGGCATTGAGCATGGCGGCGATGATGTCGATTTCGCGCTGCGGGTTCACGTTCCTCGAGGACGTGGACGAGGTCCGGCTCTTGAGGCCCTCGGCCTGCCTCTCTTTGCGCCCTCCCGCGCCAGAAGGCGGCCTGGACAAAGACGACTGCTGCGACGTGGGGATCGGATCCAGCCGGGGAGCCTGCGAGGCCAGGCTCGTCCTCCTCGATGCCGGGCCATCGAGAGTGATGCGGCGCTCCCGTGCGATCTGCGCGGCGCTGGAATGAGCTGCGATGGCCCCATTGCCGGCAGGCGAATGCGAGATGGTCCGCACATCGGCCGAAGCGTCGGCGTCGCTGCGGCCCTGGCCCAGTCCGACGAGCACGTCGGCACAGTCCCACCAATTCTGGAACTGCTGTTCGATCTCGTCGATGCGATGCCTCGAGACCGGGTCGGCCGAGCTCAGCGCTCGACGCAGCCGGTCGTGCTGAGCCTGGAGCGCCTTGAGCTCTGCGTTGCGTTGCGTGGTTTCATCGGTCCCAGCAGCAAAGGGGGGAAAGAGGTGATCACGACTCGGTCAGCCTCTCAACATCGAACTTGGCGGTTCGGCGCCGGTTCCAGGCTCGACTCACCTTCGACTCCCTTGGCAAAGTCGCGGACCAGCGTGATGTTGGCGCGGATACCCGTCTGGGCTCGACTGATGCGGCTCGGAATGCGCAGGTCGCTGAGGCTGTTTCTGCGGCCCATTGTCGGCCTCTTTGCCGGCTCCTCCTTGCCCGCCTGCGCAGAGGTCGAGGGCAGCGGCATGCTGGGCGTTGTCGAAGGCGCTGCGCCGCCCGCAGCCGAACTGACCGCATCGTCGGCGTCCGCCTCTGCCTGGGTCTTTGCGCGGCCGAGTGCCGTTGCCGCGGCGGTCCTTTCGTGATCTTCCTCCTCTTCGTCCTCCTCGTGCACGACGGCGCGCTTGCAGCCGGCCTCGTTGTGGCTCTTTCTGCCGGCCCGCGCAATGCTGCGGACGGGAGTCGAGGCGGACGTCGTGCTGTGGCGGCTGCCGGGCCGAACGCTGTCTGACGGCGTCGCGGCTCGACTTCTGACGCCCGGCGACTTCGAAGCGCCGTGCTCCGACGGCGTCGACGGCTTGCTGGCGAGCATCCTGTCCGATGCCCGCGCACCTGAAGGCGAGTCGCTGCCGACGCTGGTCCCATGGGTGGTCTCAGAGTCGTACATCTCGGTCCCGCTCCAGCTGGCGTCCTTGCGGTGCGTCCGGGACAGGGCGTCGCTGCTGCAGGCGCTGGTTTCCGTCGACGCCGAAACTGAGCGGCTGTTGGGCGGTGGCGACGAGTTGTAGCGAGGATCCGCTCCGGCTCGTCCGACGAGCGCGTCGGACGCCGATGACCACTCGCTCGAGCGGGCGATGCCTCCATGCGGATCGAGCTCTTTCCCGCCCTGGACTGCTGGCGCCAACGCATGCCTATCGACACCAACGTCCGTGGACGCGGACGGGCGTGCCCCGACATCAAAGCGAGAACGGTCTCGGCTGGAGATGGAGCGCACGACCTCGGCCTCGGCGCTGGCACTGGCTCGGAGCGTGGCGGAGCTCGAGTGGTCGCGCCGAGCTCGTGCGGGCGAGCCTGCGGGCGAGTTCGAGTCGCCGACAGAGCGCAGCTGGACGCCGGCGTCGTGGAACGTGAAGGCCTCTCCTCTGCTGCCGGAGGGCGTCGAACGGCGGCTGGCGTCGGCACGCTGCCCAGCACCGTGGCTGGGCCGCGTTGCCGTGGTGCACCGAGCTGCCGTCACAGCGGCATCGGACGAATGAGGCGACTGCTCGAAGCCGAAGTCCGCAGACAGCTTGCCGGCCGGGGGTCTATGATGCGCAGAGCTGTATCGCGCAGATGATGCTGTCCCTGCCGCGGTCGGAACAGGCTCCGCCGAGGGCTGGGACGTCTTGGAGTCCAGAGACAAGTCACCCGGATCGTTGGACATGGTGCGGCTGCGCGCGAGCGGAGAGCTGGGCGGGGAGCGCGCAGCGCCGTAGCTTGGCGTGGTCGGCTTCTGACTGGTCCGGCGTCCGATCTTGGCATTCTTGAGAGCACGGTAGCCCCTTTCGAGCTTTGACGGCACCGATGCGCCGAACGAGCGTCGAGATCGCTGCGACGACTGACTGTTCAGCGAGGTCAGCGAGGGGTTGGCGGTTGTTCCGCCGCTGCCCGAATGATCGCCCTGATTCATCCACGGCTCGAGGCTGGCATGCCCGGAGCGATGGGAGCTCGTCAGCCTGGCATCGTCTGACGCATCGACCACCGAGGTCCGCGACGAGCCAAAGGCGTCCAACTTGTAGAAGCGGCCCTTTGGCGAAAGCCCTGGCCCAGCAATCTCGAGGTTGGCAGTCATGCCGACAAGAGTCTTGACTGCCTCGCCGTGCGCGTGCCCATAGCCTGACGAGGACGACTCGGGCCGGCGGGCCGGAGACAGATCGCGGACAGCCCTGCCACGGGTGAAGGACGCGAGTAGCGAGCGCCGCTTGCTCTTGCCGCCCTTTGGAGAGGCGTGCGCGACGCTCGAGTCGGCTTCGGTCTCGGTCTCGTCCCCGCTGTCCTCTATCGAGGTGTGCACAATCGTGCCCTGGCTGACCTGCCGCGGGCGGACGACTCGTGCCGAGGTCGGCGAGGCGGCCAGAGGCACCTGCAGCTTGTCCGACGGGCTGCTCAGCAGGTCGGCCGTCAGGTCGGTCTGGCCGCTCTCGGACGAGCTACGGTTGCCCCAGGAGCTCGCATCCGACTGCGCGGCTAGCGCGGCCGAGAGATCGGTGACGACGCTGCCGCGCGACGAAGTCGATTCAGCTCGCGCGTGAGCGCCGTGCCCTTGCACGTCAGACGGACCAACCTTGCCATGGCTGCCCCTAAAGGCGCTCCTGGTCGGCGGCAGGCCCGTAGCCGCGTGAACCGAGACCGCCGCTGCGGTGAGAGGGGTCGAGCGAAGAGCGGTCGGAAAGGCGGATCGGCCGGCGCCCTGCGGCGAGGTCGACCTGCGCATCGACGCCCGTCGCTCTGGGACATCCTCCCACGAAAAGGCGACGTCCCAGTTCTCGTCCTCCTCGCTCTCTGCATCGGCGCTGCCGGATCGGACGGCTGATGCACCCCGGGCTGCTGCCGACTGCTTTCGCGCAGTGTTCGAGCCGCGAGAGCGGTCTGAGCTTCGCCCGGATGCTCCCGCCCTGCCCTTGCCAGCGTGGGCTGCCTGGTGGGCAGGCTCGGCGTCGAGGCCGGCGTCGTCGTCGTTCTGGAAGAGGAAGTCGTCGTCCCAGCTCTCGCTGACGGACTGCGTGACACGGAGCCCGCGGATCTGCGGCGAATGGTGCAGATCCTGAGGGTCCGAGCGCTTCCCCTCTGTGCGGGCGGCAACGTGAGGCGCAGCGGCGACTTGTTCGGCGGCGCTGCTGGGGCCTGCCTGCGACAGCGACGAGGCAAAGACCGTCGGACGGAGCAGGCTGCCGGCACCCTGCCGCACCTCGGTGATGCCGAGCTCCTCGTCCCAGTCGGTCTCCTGGCTCTGGATCGACAGGTCGCCGTGCACGTGCCGCGAGTCGGTGAGAGTGCTCTGCCGAGCGGGGGGTCGGTCGAGCCGGTCGCGGAAGGAGAGCGCGGACGACGACGAGGTCGACGGCTTACGGCGGGAGCCCTTGAGACCGTCCCACGCGAGCTCGCCATCGCCCGGCGTCGAGCTAGGGTACGTCGAGACGCTGCTGACCATGCTCTTTGAGGACATCCAGGCGGCGTCTGTGGACTCGCCGTCGGTGTCGCCCTCGTCGTCGTCGTCGTCGTCGAGGTCAAGATCGACCGCAATATCGTCGTCATCGTCGTCGTCGTCATCGTCGCCGATCGACATCCGGCTCCGCGTGAAGCTGCGAGGGACGAATGCCGCTGCAGAGTCATGGCTGGCGTCACCACCGACGGAGGCTCGGTGGGGCCGCCCTGATCGAGGCGCAATCTGCATCGGAGTCGCCCCGGCCGCAGGAGACGCCTTCGAGCTGGACGGCGAACGCTTGCGTCCGGCGGGATGCGACTGCGCTGCGCTAGACGGCCCGGGCGCGTCGAGCAGGTTGCCACTCGGCCTGGGCCGAAGAGGGTCGACGGGGCCTCGCTGCGACCGATTCGATGTGGAGGGTGCATGGGGAACCGGGGCAGAAGTTGCAGGAGGCTCAACTCTGGTGTGCATCGACCTCGAAGCGGTCCAGGCAGATGGCGCCGCACTGCGTGAGGCCGACTGGCGGCCTGAAGACGACGAGGCGGGTCGTTTCGAGCTTGCGGCTGCACCCAGACCTGCGCTCGTGGCGCTCGAGGGCAATCCCAAGATGCAGGGGGGCAGTCTCCTCTCGTTGCCAGAGGCGGACCTCTTGCGGGTGGCGATGAGTGACGAGCTGCGCGGCAGCACCTCCCTGCTCGAAGGCCGTGACAGGGGCCGGCTCGAGGATGGTGCGTGCGCAGTGTCGGTCGCCGGTGTATCGAGGAACTCCCTCTGCAATGCCCGCGACGACGGCTGGCGCTTGGCCGATGGGGCGGCAGAAGGCCTGTCCTGGCTGTCGTCTTTGTTGGATGTCGACGACGATGAGGCGATGGCCGGGATATCGCAGGCACTAGCGAGGCGAGTCATCGAGGCAGAGGCGACCGGGATGGCGCTCGGGCGGGCGGCCGTGGTGCCCTGAGAAGGATCGGTGGCGGCTCGATTGCCCGGCGTCTTTCGACTTCGGACCGACGACATGGTCGACGCAGCCGCTCGATCTTAGAAGCCCGAGAGGGTCGGGAGGACAGTGGTGGATTGCGATGAGCCGGGCGCCGGAGGCATCGCAGGGTCCTTGGGCAGAGCAGTCGGCCTCCCGGTGAGCGAGCGTAGGTTTCAGTCGAGGGTTTTGGTGAGGCGAAGCGAAGCGGCCGAGGCAGACGCAGCAGTTGTCGATTGTCGTCGTGGTGGTCTCTAGAAGGGGGCGCCGATGCTCCGGATCTAAGTTCTTTTGTGTGGTATGGTCACTGGACGTCGAGCCGAGTTGGGGAGGGGGCTGGTATGGGTTTTGGAAGGAGGCTTGTGGTGGTATCGAGGAGATGCGAGTGTTGAATGTCTGAGTGCAAGCAAAGGAACGATGAGAAGGGACTGTGATGGGAGAGCGTGGAGATGCGAGAGGGGAAGAGAGAGAGAGAGAGAGAGAGAGAGAGAGAGAGAGAGAGAGAGAGAGAGAGGTGTGTGTGTGTGTGTGTAGTAGTAGGTAGGTACGTACGTACGGTACGGTACGGTAGGTACGGGTACGTACGGTACGGTTACGGGTTAGGGTTACGGTACGGGTTCGGTTTA